CCCCCCCCCCCCCAATCCTCTTCTCGAATACGTATTTTTCCAGTGTAGAATAGACGTGGAAGGAAGAAGCATTGAAAAATCATTAGAGTCAACATGTACTTGCAGATGGATATTGTTTCTTCGCGGCTTGAGTGTAAAAACTCGGGAAAAATGTTGCGGGTAAGTATACTGGTTTGGCTGGTGCTTCAGAATTCAGTGCATACACTCCTTTTACGTTATTCGCGGTCACGAAATGTCAAAGAAATGTTCGCTTCATCAGTGGCTGTTTTTTTCACCGAAATAGTCAAAGTCACTGCATGTATTCTTTGCATTACTTGCCAAGAAAAGGGCTTCAACAAGTTCGTTGTTTTTTTTTTTATTTTAAAGAAAAATATTTTAAAAAAGGTATTGACTATCACGATTGCTCCCACCCTTGCAAAGATATAAACCGGTAGTGAATCGACCTCTTCATCCTCACTATCCCAGTGCTTCCAAACTGTCACGTGTCAATCGTTACACAGTTGGTTCTTATGCTCCAGTCCTGGAAACTGCAACATTTAAATCTGTAGGTATGGCACTCACATACATTTCTTGATACCTGGCTACTGCTGATTCAAGCAGCTTACATTTCTTTCAGTTTTTAGCAGCTTTTCGCGTGTATTTGCTGCACTTCCATCACAGTAATGATGCAGTTTGTAAACCTGTGAAAGACCCTGCCAAGAATTTCTTTTTAGCCTGTTTCGGCTACTTCTCGGCCCGAAACAGGACATGCATCATGTTGCGAACGGTGCTTTATCACAGTGATATGGAATAGGAGAAAATCAGGCTTTTCATCGTCACTGTTTCAGCTCCTTCATTTGTGTGATTCCAGCGATTTCTTAAGTGTCTTAAGTGTTTTACGAGTCCCGACGATTTCCGAGTGCTGATAACGAGAACGAATTTCAGAATGCTGTATCTTGTGAAACGACAGGTATTTGGACGTCGAAGCGATACGCTGCGCTTATGCATTTTCGCGATGATTTATACCGTGCAAAATAACTTATTTTACCTGGCAGCAACAAATCTGGAAGCCGCAACATTCATGGTCATTCTTTATCAACATTTTTCGAAATTACCGGCTTGGAGCTTTTGATCGCATGGAGTGGCAGCCACATACGCGGGGCTTAGCTGTGCAAGGCTTTTCTATACGCAAATGTGCACCTTCTCATTAGAGGCCGTTTGGTCTTTTTCATAAATACCAGGATGTTCACCAACCATAAAATATTAAGCCAGATCACAGTGATCCCAGTAAGTAGCAAAATTCGTGTAGTTATTTTAAAACTCGACTTTTTTCGTTCTCCCGCCGGTTTACGTACTGCGCTTCACTATTGAGAATTTTGAAAGACCGACGATCTCATGTCCCCATCCAACACGTGCTTGCACCTATTCACTTTTGCTGCGGTTGTCCCTGACATTACCACTTATAGTTCACAAATGTAAATCAGATTTGCATTGGTACTGCAGAAATCGAATGATTGTTTTGGATCTAACGAACCCTTTTGTAACAACTGTATTATTTTCTATGATCACCACAGTGTTCTGCACGCCATACATTTAAACTAGTGTGAAAACTGGTTATGCCACTTTTTTCAAAGCATTCAATGATTATTCCTCCTGCTTTTTTACACAGAGTGGGCATGGGCAATTTTTGGTGACAAGGTACAAGTAACTTATTTTTTACAGGTAACTTCTCAGCTGAAAATTTTTTCAACGGCTGTATTTGCTGTAACGATATTAAAAAAAGCTATAACGTGGAAGCAGTGGCTTGCACTGGGTATGCTTTTTGTTGGCGTATGTCTTGTTCAGGTGCAAGAAAACGAACGGAAAGCAATTTCTTCAGAGAACCCATTTTTGGGTAAGATTTCTTTTTGTCGTCTGAAAAAAATATTATTCGAAACACTAACAAGTGCCTGAGCGAGAGAAAATGTGTAGCGAGCGCACTGCTGCTTTAGAATATCATTTCTGACTTTACGGGTTTAAAACGCTGTCCTCTAGATATAACAAGAATGCTAGGACTGCCCAGAATATCCCACGTTAGTATTTTACTGGAGTGTTTGTACGCGATGGATGCAGCTGTGCCTTCAGTTAGTACTTTTGCCCGAGTGGCCGTACTACTATCTTGCGGGTGTCGCTCACTGGTCCAATGGTTGTCCGCAAGGCAAACAATGTGTCCTGTC